AGGTAGATTGATTTCTGATAATATTCTTATGGCTCAAGAATTGGTTAATGATCTTCACATGAAAATTAGAGGAGGAAACATGTTTTTTAAGCTTGATATTTCTAAAGCTTATGATAAAATATCTTGGGAATTTATTTTTAATGTTTTAGAACTTTTTGGATTTTCTAATCAATTCATAAGATTGATTAAAAATTCTGTTGACAATGTTTGGTTTTCTGTTTTACTAAATGGAGGTTCTAATGGTTTTTTTCATCCTAAACATGGTATTAGGCAAGGAGATCCATTATCTCCTTCTCTTTTTATTATAGCTATGGAATATTTTTCTAGATGCATAAATTATATATTTGAGAAATGTCCTTCAATGTATTATTTAAACAAAGATGGTTTTCCTATATCCCATCTTTGTTTTGCTGATGATTTCATGATATTTTGTAATGGTGGTTTAAAACATATTAAGAAAATTAAAAATTTTCTTAATAATTTTTATCTTGAAAGTGGTTTATCTATAAATGACATGAAAAGTTCTTTCTTTACTTCTAAACATTTCACTATAGATAAGATAAATAAAGTTTCTTCTATTACCCATTTTGTTCACCAAAGTTTACCTTTTAAATACTTAGGTGCTCCGATTTTCAAAGGCCTAAAGAAATCTCATCTTTTTGATGAAATTATCAAGAAAATGACTGATAGAATTTCTTCTTGGGAATTTCATTTTCTATCTTATGGTGGTAGATTAACTGTTTTAAAAAGTATTCTTAATTCTATGGCTTTTCATTTATTCCAAGTTATACAACCCAATGCTTCTACTATTTTAAGATTAGAAAGAATTCTTAACAAATTCTTTTGGGGTTCTAGAAATGATATTACTAGAATGCATTGGACTTCTTGGAGTAAACTTTGTGGCCCTTTAAATGAAGGTGGTTTAGGTTGCAAATCTATTTCTGATTCTATAATTGTTTCCTCTATGAAAATGTGGTGGAATTTTAGAAAAAATGAAAGTCTTTGGGCTTCATACATGAATTATAAATATTGCAAAGGAAAACATCCTTTATGTTGTTATTATAAACATGGTGACTCTTCTATTTGGAGAAGACTTTGTCAAATTAAAAATATTATGGAACCTCTTATAGCTTGGGGTATTAATTCTGGAGACTGTTTTTTTTGGCAAGATAATTGGCTTTTTGAAGGTTCTATTGAATCCCTTCTTTCGACAGTTTCTTATTCTAATGTTAAAGTTAAAAAATTTTTTCAAAACAATGTTTGGGATATTCAAAGTTTCATTGATATATTTCCATTTGACATCATCTCTAAAATTTTGAAAATTTCTTTGGATAATCAAAGAAATGATCATATTCTGTTTAAACTTTCTTACAATGGTAACTTTGTATTTAAAGTTGCTTGGGATTTCATTAGAAAAAAGAAAAATGTTACCATGGTTTTTTCTAAAATCTGGAGCAATAACATACCTACCTCCTATTCTATTCTTGTTTGGAGAATTATTAAGAAATTTATTCCTGTGGATGCTATTCTTTGGAAAAAAGGTTTTTATCTTCCCTCTAAATGCTTATGTTGTTATCATATTGAAGACATTAACCATGTCTTTATCAATGGTCCCATTGCTGCTAGAGTTTGGATTTGGTTTGATAATTTTTTTAACACTAATTATTTTAGTGGTCATTTATCATTTAATCATTTTCTAACTGTTATTTTTCATAATACCACTAGAGGGCATATCAAAATTGTTACTGCTATTTCTCTTATATGGTTCTTATGGATTGATAGAAATGATGCAAAACATAGGAATATTCCTATGAATCATAATCGGATAATTGCTAGAACCAAAGAAAAGATCAATAGCCTTTATAAGGTGAATTTGATTCATCAAAAACAATTACGTGGGTTTAAATTTATTGCTAAAAAGCTTAATACTAATATTTTTGATGAACTTCATGAAACTTGTTTCAAATATGTTATTTGGAAAAAACCCAATCTTCATTATATCAAAATCAATACTGATGGTTCAATTTCTGAAAACAAATATGGTTGTGGTGGTATTCTGAGAAATGATAAAGGTAATTTAATTGTGGCATTTTCTTCTCCTCTTAATAAATGCTCAGTTTTATATGCTGAACTTATGGCTATTTTTAAAGGTCTTCAAATCTGCTTATCATCTGGATACTTCAAAATTTGGATAGAAGTTGATGCTATGTTAACTATAAGTTGTATTTCTGCTGATCATATTGGAAATTTTGATACTTTTTACATTCTAAAAGATATCAAAAAAATGCTATCTCATCTTGACTATAAAATATCTCATATATGGAGGGAAGGAAATTCAGCTGCAGATTTTTTAGCTAAAACTGGTTGCAATTTGGATCAATTTACTCTATTTCATCAAAATAATATACCTATTTTATTAAGGGGTATAATAAACCTTGATAAAAGTGGTTTACCATATATTCGTTCTTATTGATTTGTTTAGTTTTGATCTGTTTGTTATGTTGTTTAGATTAAATTTTTACTATAGAAGTATAATTTACCTTTTCTTTTTGAAAATTCTAGTTCGGATAGCAAATGTAATGAATTTTTTTCTCTTTATATATTGGTTGTATTTCAATAGCTTTAATAAATTTCTGGATTATTTTGGCTTGGATCTTATATGGAATAGTTGGTCATATTCTATTATTATGGCTGGAAGGTTTTAGAATTTGGATTTTCTTTCTGTATCTGTGGTTGATTTGGTTTATTGGAGGTTTAAAAACTTTTCTATTTCTTTTGCTATCCAAACTAGTTTTTTTATGAGAAAAATGGTATTTTATTTTTTCTGTAATAAAAATTTTATTTCTGAGCAATTAAGATACTATATTTTGATCAAGTTAATTGATTGGTTGGCTATGATGTTTAGATTAATCATTTTATTATGGAAGAATATTTTGCCTTTTCTCTTTGATTTAACTGGATTGGATAGTAGATGGGCAAATTATATTGTTACTTGGCTATACAATATTCAAGATTGTAGCTGGACCGAAATATTTTGCCTATTTATTTGGTATTATATTTACATTAGCTTTGGCTGGAAGGTTTTAGATGATGATTATTTGAAAAAAGGTTTAGTAGAGATTATTTTATCTGATGATATTTTACTATCCTACCAGTTATCTTTGAGAAAATTGGTATTTTATTTTCTATAAAAAATGTTTTATCCTGAGCCATTAAGAAACTTTTTGATCTTATTTCTTTTCAAAATTATAATCAATTATTATTAACTGATATGTTTTTTTTTAAGGTTTTTTTTTCAGGTTTCTTAAATGACTTCATCAATTTCATTCTTAATAATTTTGGTTATACTCTAAAGAAGGAAGAATGCAGTTTAAAGATTGAAGATGTTTTGTTTGTCAGCTTTTTGATTGAAGAAGGAGCTTTCAATATCATTCTCTTTTATTTCAATCTATTATTGGTTATGCTGTTCTTATAGGTTTTTTTTCTCTTTATCTTGTAACTAGTTTAGAGGATTTTGGCTCTTTAGATTCTATTTTCTTTTTGTTGTATTTTATTTTTTTCAAATGTATTTTCTTTTATTTTAGTTGAGCCATTAGCCTCTTTAAGGATCTTTTGTAATCGCTTTTTTCAATAAACGCGTAAGCCCCTACAGTGGGTTTTAACCAAAAAAAAAAAAAAAAAAAAAAAAAAAAAACCCTAAACCCTAAACCCTAAACCCTAAACCCTAAACCCTAAACCCTAAACCCTAAAACCCTAAACCCTAAAACCTAAAACCCTAAACCCTAAACCATAAACCCTAAAACCTAAAACCCATAAACCCTAAAACCCTAAAATTCTATACCCTATGCCCTAAACCCTAAACCATAAACCCATAACCCTAAAAGCTAAACCCTAAACCCTTAAATCCTAAACCCTAAACCTAAACACTAAAACTCTAAAACCCTAAATCCAAAACCCTAAACCCTAAAACCCTAAACCCTAAACCCTGAAACCCTAAACCCTGAAACCCTAAACCCCAACCCTAAAAACCCTAAACCCAGCCCTAAAAACCCCAAGCCCTAAAAACCCTAAAAACCCTGAACTCTACACCCTACTCCCTACACCCTACAGCCTACACCCTACACCCTAAACCCTAAACCCTAAACCCTAAACCTTAAAACCCTAAACCCTAAACCCTAAAACCCTAAACCCTAAACCCTTAAGGCCTAAGCCCTTTGCCATATGCCCTATGCCCTATGCGTTAAACCCTAAAAAACCCTGAACTCTGAACCATTATCCCTGATCCCTCGTCCCTCAGCCCTATGCCCTATGCCCTACGCCCTACCCCCAACCCCCCTTACCCCTAAATCCCTAACCCCTGACCCCTTAAACCCTAGACCCCTAAACAGCTAAACACCTAACCCCCTAACCCTTAACCCATAACCCATAACCCTTAACCATATAACCCTTATCCCTTATCCCTTATCCCTTATCCCTTATCCCTTATCCCTTTATCCTCTTAAACCATTAAACCCTAAACCCCAAACCCTAAATTATAAACCCTAAAACCCTAATCCCTAACCCTTAAATCCTTAGACTCTAAAACCCTAAAACCTAAACCCTATAACCCTAAACCCTACACCCTACACGCTATAGTGGGTTTTAATTAAAATAAAAAATTAAAAAAAAAATTGTTTGTTTAAATTTATAAAAAAAAAACTTTCGATTTTACTTTTTTAAAAGAAAACTTTCGGTTTTAGGTTTTAATTAAAAAAAAATTAAAATGCAATAAATGCATTTAAATTTGTAGGTTTCAGTTAAGAAAACAAGTGCAAGAAAAAGTCAGTGAATAGAAAATTGGAATGCCTCAATAATGAATGACATCCAACATACAGCGATAAGATTTTTTAAGTGAAGTTTAAAAAAAGAAAAAAAAAATCACAAGTTGAAATGCATAAGTTTTGTGATCACAAGTTGAAATGCATACAGCCACAAATTGAAATTGATTCCCTACCGCACAATGAAACTTCAAAATTGATCACATATAATCACAAGTTAATTGATGCACTGGTGTAAAAATAAAGAGAGTTATTTGGTTACATTGATTTAGTTTGAAGCCATTGCTTCAAGCTCATGAATTTGTTTCCTTAACTGCAAAGTTTTATCACACCAGGTAGAAGGAATGCCATTCTTCTCTTATCACCAAAAAGTCTTGGTAACTATAATCTCTAAGACATGTATGTAGTTTAACAATGAGAATTAGAAAACAGGGCATCCCTTGACAACAATTCCAGGTTCGGTAGGGCAGGATGCTAACGGACAATGGTCAATCTCTGTTCCCCACCATTTCAGATTTCTGTTTTCATTTTGAAGAGCAAAGAAGAGAAGCACACCCATGAAGGCCGTGCCCGCATCCAAGGCCGCTGATAGCACGTAGTTGTACTTCTGCCACCACTGCTTCCGGTAACGGAAAACAAAATAATTGAATATTGTTCCAGTGACGAGCCAACTGGCTATGTTTGTGGGAGTGGCCGGAGGCATCCCAGCAAATCCATAAGAGATGACTGGTATATTGATCAAAGGTATCCACTTCTTTTCTGGAAACATTATGCTGAACAACCACACCGGCACTGGCAAAAGTGCACCTATCAAAAATAGCCACACCAAGTTGCGGTACATTCCATGGTGGCCGAAGAGGCGAGCAGGGCCTATCAGGCCCCATATGACTGAAGCGTCAAAGGTCACTCGATACTTGGGGCATGTCCATGGGCTATCAGGGTACAAGCCATCCACGTCACATATGTTCTCGATGCTTTCAATCATCCACCAAGCTACCGCAATGTTCACGATGCCAGCAACAACAGTTCCAACAAGCTGAAAGATAGTTGCAGACAATATTTGGTTTAACATTAGCAAAAAGAGAGAATACAGATCTATCAATGCTGAATTAGAGAAATATAAGTGGTGGTTGATTGATTACCTGAGCAGTGTACATGCACTTTGGTGGGATTTTCATGTAATGCCCGAGCTTGAGGTCAGACAGGAAAGAGAGAGCGTGGATGGTGCTGATTCTACCATATATCTTAAAGAGCAAATTTGCAATGGGCTTTCCCGGGAGGACATATCCAATCATGAATTGTGCTATGATATCATACCCTGGTTGCTAGAAGAATCAAGAAGAATGGGAAAAGATTTTAGAGTTCCTTGTTGGACGATATGATAAAAGGAGTAATCGGATCTCCAGAATACTTGATAAAATAAATATGATAGTGTCTTACCATATTTTCAAACATTTTGTTACCTGATTTGTGGTTGCTTGAATAACTCCAACCGGTAGAGTGACAATCCATGCCAACCCGAAAGCAAAGAGCATACCCCACCAAGGAAGCTGCACCTCCTCCTTCCATATAAATGACATTAACAGAGACAGCCCGATGCTTCCTGCTAGAAGAATAAGGAACCACCACTGAGGAACCTGTTTATAGTTCTTCATCAGCTTGGCATGGATGTCCAGCTTCGCTGAGTTCACTGCAGACTTGCTTTGCCTCCAGATATCTCTACAAGGGTTGGAAGTGTTCATTATTCTCATTAAAACTTCCTGTAAGACATGCTAAACTTAAAAATAGATCAGCTAGTCCAATCTATTTACTCCTATCATCGCTGAAAAACTACTGCTAATTGATGAGCAATTAGTATCTGATTAAATTAGCATTTATAATTAAACTGAAAGCTAGTAATGGATGATGATTGATCTGAAAAACAGAAAATTAATAAAAATCATAGTAAAAGTAACAATTATAACCATATGCTCACCTGCCATTGAATAAGAGCACGTGGGTTAATGTTGCAGTAAACCGAAGAAAACCTGAACCTATAGATATTGCAAAAAGAGGACTGAGATAGAGTTTCCCGTAGTCATTGTAAGCCGCCTCATTCAGCTCAAATGTAGGAGTCAGTATCTTGGTTGTGTCATACTTCAGCCCCTTGGAAGTAAATAGTTGGTTTGAGAATATAGGAAACTTCCTTGCATCGAAGGTGTTGAAATTCCAGTAACAAAGAGGCATTATTATATAGATGAACATGATGAAACCAACTGCTGTATTTAGAATAGAAAACCATGGGGTGACCAAAGGGCTACCATGATAGGCAGAGATACCAGCCCAATCAAGAGTAAATGCACCAACTCCAAGTCCATGATAGCCTGAACCTATCTGTTGTGCAGTGATGCTGTGTGGCCAGATCCAACAGATCCAAGAGAAGAACGTCAGGATAGGGAAGAGGTATCCAGGTAGAGTGTAATAGGCAAAGCTTGCAGTCAAAAATATGAGGAAGAACTGCATCCTTGTCAACCCTCTTGATGATAAATCCCTCTCGTGGAGAGCTCTGTGTAACATAAAAATTTATGTAAGCTTCTAGTATTGTAAAGAATGTTATTCTAGTTTATACACGTCATTTTTGCAAGTATTACGACAATTCATAGTAGCCATAACAATATTAATTGGTTCTTCTTCAAAGAGTCGATAGTAGTATTTTATCAACTCTTTCAGGAAGACGGAAAAGTTGAAGGAAAAGCATGGCTGCACGCCAATTGCTGATTCCATCTAGTCTGTTGCTCTCTTAGTCCAAAAGCTTCTTAAATAGAAGATTAGAGAAGGAACGCTTTACTGTGCCATGTTCCACATTTTTCCGGGAATTGATATTTGTGGAGGAGATTAGCCATAGAAAAGCTATTAAAAAACTCTCTTGGAGAATACATTTGTGGTAATGGATATTACAAACCTAAAAAGGGAAACCTGAGCAAGATTTGAAGGCCACCACATTTCAACGGGATCTACTAAATACTTTCTTAGCATTCCAGCCCAGCCATAACCTAGTATCTGCAAGAAAAAAATAAGAAAATCAGAGTCAAAGCACATTAAAAAGTTGATTAGAAGAATCTTAATAGGATGTGAACGAAAACAACATAGTTTTTTTAAGGTATGAGAAGGTTGATTCAAATCTACATGAAACGCTCACAATACTTTCCAAACAAAAACAATTACAAATAATTAACAATTCATTCTTCACATAAAAATATATTAATTAATCAGTAGAATGACCAAAACATACGTGCTCAAATGAGTGCTAAAAGATTAATTAGACGGTTAATTTGATAAATTGCATAATGAGGCATTATTTGTGTGCACAAACAAAAGATAGGTTCGAGGAAGTTAGTTCTGGAGAAAAGACAAAATAAAAATTCACAAATAACATATATAAGAGTGAACTACTGGTCCATTCTACTTATAAAAAAAAGTCTTGAATCTAGCGGATAGGCGAACGCATTTCATTTGTCTCCACCTCATTGAGTTAGTGATTTGTTTCAATAACTAAGTTAGGCAATTAAAAAATCTCCATTATCAAATGTACAAAGATGCTATTTTTCCAATGTATTTGTACACTTGATAAATTATTTCAAGTAGAACTAAAATAGTTCTTTTTTTTTTTTCAGAACGGAAAAAAATGAAAACCTAAAAATCATTGCAAGAAAATGTTTGAAAGAGGTTCCAGGAGTCTGCTAATCTACAAGCCACGTTTATTTAAAACCCAATAATCAGTACTTTTTATAATTATCAATCCAAATTAGAAGGGACCCTAACAGTCCATTAGTTCAAGAAATAAAAAAGAGTAAAGAAAAGTATCTTGCTCCAGCTAAGCAAGTGGGATAAGAAAATGTGAAACATGATCTGACAGTGTCCCTACTTTTGAATTTAATTTTTCTTTCGCTCAAACGATTGCTATCTATTCAAACTAAGCCCTAAATCAACCAATACCATCACCAATTTAAGATAACGATTGCTATAAATCCAAGCTCAGCGAACCATTTCCCTATCAAGAGAAATTTGCTTTTGGTTCATCTCATATTCTTATGGAACAAAATTAGTTCGAGCATATTCCATGGCATGGAGCATGTAATGAGACTCTAACCTATTTCAAGATTCCCTTCTGCCGTGTAAAGAATCAGTTCCACGTCACTGATAGAAAATAGGTGAAGTATGCCAAAAATCCCAACCTTTCGCTATCAACAACCTTCCCCGCCTTCAGTGGATCCATCCTCATCGAACCTTTTTAAAAGCAAACATTCTTCATTTTTTTTTTTTTTTCAATTTGGATTTGAGCCAATTAAGTCGTAAACTTACACGCTCGAACCCAAAAAAGTTTAATTGTTGCCTAAGCTCTCTATCAAGGTCAAGATGGGCTGCTCTTTACAGTTTCTAACCGGAAAAAAAATTGAAATAAAATTGAAATATATATATATATATATATATATATA